TTATCACCGGAAGATTTGGATCATCGATGGCCACTGCCTCCAAAGGATCAAGCTGAGGCTACTAGTCAGCAGAGGATCAATAGGGACATTAGTCGTCAATTAGGACGTAGTCGTCAAACCATGTGGTTACTGCAATGACTCTGCACATGCTATGAAACATTGCAATAAGCTGAAGATAAAGACGCACGATGACAGCTAAACTTTCTTAAGGTTAAAGAGGCTCTGCTATGGTTGCATTAAGCCTGGGCATCAGGCTAAGTTTTGTCGTAATAGGGCCAAGTGTTCAAAGTGTGGTGGATCTCATCTCACGATGCTACATAGGGATACAGCTGCAGCACTTTCGGAGTTTAAGAAGGCATGGTCAAGCATCACGAGCAAAGCTGATGGCAATAAACAAAGCAGTGGATGTGATCTACGGTGCCATATAAAAGCCGGCGGAGGGAGCATAGGGCAATGTACAATGGCGATAATCCCTGTCATGGTCAAGACTTCGGATGGTGGCGTACTAGCAGAAACTTGCGCATTTCTTGACCCAGGCAGTAACGTCAGCTTCTGCACTGATAAGCTGGCTGCTCAACTAGGAATCAAAAGAAAACGAATGACAATAAAGCTAGAAACGATGGGAGCCTCTCAGAACTTGGTAACACATAGAATCACAGGACTGGAAATCAGTGGTTTAAATAGGGATACTATTCTCAAGCTACCAGCCTTGCTCACTAAGACAGAAATGCCAGTTACCAGGGTCCTCATTCTAACTTAGACAGATATTAGTGAATTTGAACCCCTCGATGACATTGGATTGCACAGGATCAACGCAGAGATTGACCTACTAATTGGGAACAATGTGCCGGATGCGTATACGCCATTAGAGCTCAGGACTGGTCCGAGAGAAACACTCCATGCAGCCAAGTCAGTTGTTGGATGGATCTTGTAGAGTGTTTTAAGAAGCAATGAACTGCACACTCGTTGTACCGCAAACAGAGCTGAATCATCTGCAATACAGGACATGGGTCGTCTAAAAAGTTTAGTTTGTAATGCCATGAATATGGATTTTCCAGAGCGTGGAGTAGACAGTAAACGGGAGCCATCAGTGGAGGACAAGCAGTTTAACAAGATAGTGGAGGAATCAATGAAATATCAGAATGGTCACTACTCCATGGATTTGCCTTTTTGACAGGCAGACATCAAGTTGCCAGATAACCTGGCACAAGCAATGGATCGGCTCTCGTCACTACAGAAACGCTTGAGCAAGAATAATGGGGAGTTTCACAAGGACTATACGACATTCATGAACAATCTTCTAGAGAATGGGTACGCAGAGTAAGGTAGACGAGGATCGGGATATTACAAGAGAAAATGGAAACAAGTGGTACATTCCGCATCCTGGCAACTATAATCCTAATATAAGAATTTTCAGTAAATTTGCCGCCATGGTAAAGGTGTATTTACCTGCCGATCATATTTGGTTGAGAGATCATGATTAACAATAGAATAAGACCTCTAGGCTTACTCTGGTTGTGTTTTGCATATGTTTTGAGGTTTGTGCATGTGGTTTGTGGTCAGTTTGATAGCACAGAAGTGACATTAGTAGGGCATTACACGCTAGTTAAAATATTATTTAGATCGTCATATTACCACCGACAAAGGCAGCATCATACGTTTATTGGGTTTTATGTTTGAGTAGAAATGTGTAAGTTTGATGTCATTAGTATTTGATTAGATGATTTCTTATGGTGTTTTGTAATTGTGTTTTTGCAGTTTACATCATATAGAAAAAAACGTACAAACTACGTTCTACTGTATCTACTGATGTATTAATAAAGAAATCATCACAAGAAAAGGGGTTGGACGTCTAATCCAAGTGATGTTACATAGAGTATAATAATCAACGCGTTTATGTACTATTAATCAGCTTAATATACGAGAAGATTTGAATAGAATGAATAGTCTAGGTTGTGGAAGAGAGGAATATTTACTTAGAAACGGGTTGCGTCGGCAGGGGAGACAATCGTACCGCCACGGAATCTGCGTGAGGAGTAGTGTTATGACGATGCGTACTTAACAACGGCACATAGGGGTGCGTTGTCAGCTAGGTATATAAGGCGCGCCGAACCGCAGCACAAGAGCGTTCTTTTTCAGGTTAGGTAGGAAGAAGACCAGAAAGAAGAAGAAAGCATTTTTGGTTCCGGGGAGATAAAAGAGGGAATAGGAGAACGGGGTTTCAGGTAGGTAGAACTAAGGGTACATGGAATAGAACGGAAAGGAATGAAGCACGGGATATCAGGTAGGTAGAGCCAGGAGCGACTACGAGAGATACACCCTTGGAGGCTACCTATGTCTACGCGAAGAGAGGACGACGGGGAGAGGGGAAGACGAAGCCGGCAACGCGTTAATTCTTTAATATTAGTCTAGTGGTTAGTTAAACAACGTAAAAGCGCTTCACGCTGCACTGTTAATCGCGATAACGGCAAACCAGATAACGCAAGCTAAGTAGCGTAAGCTACATATACGAGATAAATACAGATCCGCGGCATATACGAATGCAAGGGAATTATTCGCGATTTACCATAACTCTACAACTTACCGGCATATTAAGTTGATCAAATAGACAGATCGTATATCACTTTATTTCAGTTACGTGTGACTTGTTGTTCCACCTTGGTCAGTCCGCAAACCAATTACATCATGACTTGTTTTTAGGTGTTGAACAACAGTAGAGGGCGTCAATTGGCGGCAGCCCTGAATAAGCGCCGAAGAGAAATTAATTAAAAATACTCACACTGTTACTGCGCTTACACAATATACACTTTATTCATGTTAAATAACTACAGATTTATGATCTATGCTCCGCTCGAAACTTTTGCCAATGGCAATACATGTTCAAATACCATTTGAACATGCATATGTCTAAAAACCATGCTAGAGCACTTGCAGAACTGTTTTTCATTAACATAAAATCAATTGTTCTATTTCTTTGGCAGAAAGGCTTTCCTTACCAGGCGGAGTTAAGGTATTGCACAACAGTAGAGGGCGTCCATAGGCGGCAGGCCTGACCCAGCAAACACGGAACATTCTCGTAACATTCGCTAGAGGTTCTAGTTTGGTTACATTAGCCAATAATATTCTACGACTACGGGTACGGTAGTTCTGCACATGCATCGCTTTCCCACAAAATAATGCCGTTTACTGGCTATTAATTAACCTCCAGCCTAATAATTAATTAATTAATTAGCTAGCCTACACAAGTTGTTTGGGAATGATTGTCAGTTCAGAAACAGTTCAGTTTAGTTTTTATATTGAAAGCAAAATGTTATACACCATAGATTAATTTATCTGTTTTTACACGCTATATATACGACGCGAGTCGCTTTATAGTTAGTGTTAGGGTTACGGTGGGGGTTATAGTTAGTGATAGGGATAGGCATAAGCTACGTCTACACGACGAACCTTAACTCGAGTTAAGCGTCTACACGGGGCCTTAACTCGAGTTAAGGTTGCTTGAGTTACGTTAACTCGAGTTAGCTTAACCTCGCCAGTCGATCGAGGTTAAGCTAACTCGAGTTACCTTAACTCGACTTAATGCCCGTGTAGACGCTTAACTCGAGTTAGCTTAACCTCTACGATAGGCGGCAGCACTAGTACGATGTACGTACACACGCACGCACGCCCGCGTGCTTGCACACGCACGGACACACTCATGCACGCATGCACGCACGCACGCACGCCTACGTGAACATGCACACGCGCGCACGCACGCACGCACGTGTACTTGCACACGCATGCACACACTCATGCACGCACGTGTACGTGCACATGCACGCACATGTACGCACTCACGCATGCACGCACGTGTACGTGCACACGCACGCACGCACGCACGAACGCACGTGTACGTACGCACGTACGTACGTACGCACGCACGCACGTATACGTGAACATGCACGCACACACGCACGCACGTTTACATACACACGCACGCACGCACGTTTACATACACACGCACGCACGCATGCATAATAAATCGGTAATAATCGCTAACTCGAGTTAGCTTAACTCGAGTTAAGGATACTCTCCACGTTGTGCATGAAATTTTATCGATTTTTTACGTTTTCAACTTTATTCGATGGCTAACACTATGTGCCACCTGTGTACATGCTCATGTCTCCATATAACGGTACATGTGAACCGTCAGAGCGTTTTTGCTTGCCCACGTACATGTGTAGTAAGCAGCGGCTGACGTCACTATGACGTCAGAGACATGATACAACCACGATATTCACTAGTAATAAATAAGACAGTATAATTCAGCGTCAACCCGGTTACAGCTGTCATTACATGTATTCATGTACATTCTACATCTGCTAGTGATCCAACAAGTATCCCACGCCCAAAATAGTTCTAACACCTCGCAACACACCTTACTGTAGTGCGGCCGGTACAAGGCGCGCGTTTGTTGATATTAGCTTTGTGACGTCAGGATGAGCGAAGTTCGCGCGTTCTGCGATGGTAACCTCGTAATTTATCAGAATTTCTCAAGGTGCATGGAACATTTTACCAATTTAGTGGTGTCAGTTAGTCATGGATATGTCGCAGTAAGTACTAACAATAGATATATCACATACGTTCACCCATTTTGCACACAGGCGGTCACTCGTTACGGCAAGTGCGTTTGCTGCAGGTATTTAACAATTGAGACCTCCGCTGATTCCAACTCCTCTACACTAAGTGGTGTCAACGCTTCGCTGCCTTGAGCTCTCAACCTTCTATTAGTGCTGCGACGCTGCTTAAAGCATTTATGTGCCCTTAGTATCCATGCGACAGTTGTCTTGAGTTGCTTCTAATTTGAGTATCTAGCGAACAGTTTATCTGTAGTTACGGTGTCTCCAGGTGCTGCAAGTGTGGCATAAACTTTCTTAACTTCTGGATCTTCAGGTGATAGCTCCTTTGAGAACTCTGAACTCGGCCACTGTGACTCCGGCTCCCATACATACTTGGGCCCCAACAACCATTGCTCGCTAGATCGTTGATCCTTTGGTCGAAGTCCTCGGGATGCAGAATCTGCAGGGTTGTGCTGAGTAGGGACGCATCTCCATTGGTTTAGAGTTAGTCTGTGGCATGTGACTCTGTTAGCAACAAAAGTGTGGAATCTGCTGGTCTGATTGGTGATGTATCGTAACACGAACATACTATCGGTCCAGTAGACAATCTTATCAAACTCATACTCCATTGCACCTGTAATTATTGCAACGATCTTCACTGCTACGCTGGCAGCCGTTAGCTCCATTCTCGGTGTGGTGACTTTCTTCAGTGGAGCGACCCTTGACCTTCCAAATAGCAACGAACAGCAGACCTGACCCTTATCGTCCTGTAGACGCGTATAAACGGCTATCCCATACCCGATGTCCGATGCATCTGCGAATGCGTGTAGTTCTCGTGATACAATTTTTGTGAATGCTCTAGGACGCAGGCTCCTTGGCACATACACTTGCTCCAATTTCTGGATGTAAATTAGCCATTGACTCCACTCGTTCATTTTTTTCTCGCTGATGGTGTCATTCCATGCTATGTTCTGCTTGCATAGACGTTGTAGTAGTAGCCTTGCTGGTAAGACAAACGGCCCAGTTAGTCCTAGGGGGTCAAAAACGCTACTGATAACCGACAGAATTCCCCTTCTTGTAGCCGCTTTCACCTTTAGCCTAAATTGTGATAGCCTGAACGTGAACGTATCTGTCTCGGTATCCCAAATTATCTCTAAAGCTCTTTCCGCCGGTAGCTCCTCACTGTCAATAGCTAGCTCTAACCCATATAACAGTTATTGTAGGAATGTAAGTGTATTATAGGATATATGTGGCGGTGTTTATACCTCTCGGATGGTAGTATATCATCTCAACAATCTCCTCGTCCTTCTGGTGTTCTTGGAGGTCACAGTCAATGTGCTCTATCGCTACATTAGACTTCTGCAGGAAATTAAGAGCCGCAATCGTACATCCACACGTGTATAGGGAATATTCTTCTCACTCGATAGAACTCATTTTCACCGGGTTCAACATCAAAGTTACTACGCAATCCTTCTGACGGTTTCTGATAAAGTCGTCTATATGATGGAGTCTGACGTACCTCTCACCACAAAAAATCACGCACGCACAAAAAACACATGTGGACACGACATCACGAAAAAATCACAAAAACATTCTCTACAAAATTATCACACGCAATCTGAAATACCAATTTCTTGTCGAGATAGAT